GTTCACGATAATTTTGGGGTATCTAGTTTTAGACTAGTAATGGAAGTTGTCGCGACCCCGGCTCCAGGGGCTTCCTACGTATCGGCGGGGGAACCCAAGGTCACGGCAGAATGTGGGTATTGTTAGGCCCCACACTCCTTCTGGAGGGGAAGAGGTCGCACCTGAATACCAGATCTCTTGCCACGGGGTGAACTGAGTGGCCCTTATCCACTACCGGCTTCCGATGACAACAACATGATATGGGACGAACTTATGACTGAGATAACTGACGGTTATACGTCTTGAAGAATCACAGAGATCATCATTATGCGTTTAATTCCAATAAATGTATTATGCAATGAATGTTTATTACAAAAAGAGTACACAAAAAAGGTTAATGAAATGAAGGGGAAAGAGTATGCAAAAAGGAAGGTCAGCAAAACTTAAGGCTACGACATACGAGGGGTACAGCTGGTCCGCCGTGCTGATGGTGCTAGCTCCAACTGAAGACGTCGATGCTGATGACATTGGCTGATGACGGCAATCTCCTGAGGCAGCGGAACGCCACTGATGACCGGCTTGAGGAGGGCCACCACTTGAGACGACGGATGACGAAATACTGCCGGCTGATTGCCAGGCGCGGGCTCGCTTAATATCTTTCCCGCACTTCTAGAACGTTCTACCATTTGCGCGTTGCGCGCTGCGGTCCTGCATTGCAGCACAGTTTCTTCCCAGTGCACCACGGGCTTGACGGTAGGTGTGTCGCGACCTACGCACGGGCACGTAGGTCGCGACACTCCGGGGCGAGACAGAATGAGACGACTGTGGAGTGGCGATGGAACGGCTGAAGATGTGTGACAATGCTGATGACGTCCGATGACGAGTGGCCTACTATCTGCTGACCAAAAGAGCGACAAGGAGATATAAAATACATACACACAAACATTTGATGACCGAGATCGAGTAAATATGTGAGCATCGAGAATAAGGAATATGCGAGTAAATGATCGGTAGGAGATAACAGGAGATTACATAATAAATGAGCTAAATACAAGGGTTCAATACAATAAAAACATAAATACATCGATCACAACTGACTGCATTAACTGTGGTAGTGTCGGATGGTATTGGACACCTGCTGGGAATAACGGCGTTGACTGCTGTTGCACGAAAAACTGTTGATGATTCACTTGTTGATGAACTGAAAGCTGGCATTGGCGACTGGTGTTGACTTTAGTGGATAAACGACTTGAAGGGAATTTCCTACTAGGCGTCCTTCGCGCCAAGGGTCGGTACAAGTGCGGGGGAGAGATTGTGATCCTCGCTAGGTCAATTCTGCAGGGGGTCAGTTTCTTCCCAAACGAACGTGCGATGTTTTAGAACGGCGATCTCTCAACGCCGTGGGGGTAAGATCTTAACCTCAGTCTCCACTAAAGGGTCGATGCAGGAAGTTGACGGCATGGTACTGGTGACGACGAACTGATGGCTGATACTGACGACGATGTGCTGATGGCATGATACTAATGACAGCCTTCTGATGACACGTTACTGACGACAATAGGCAATGACAACTGGTACTGATGATGATGAGCTGATGGCAACGTACTGAGGCGCTGAACTGGCGACTGATGCTGATAGGGGGATGGCGAATCGACTGGGTCCGGGGGTTCCGGTGGTAGTAGTCTAAATACAGAGCATACATGTCCTTGAAGAAGGCGTCGACGTCCATGTCGAGGTCTCTCATCAGATAGAGGCTCCTAGGGCAGACTGCAGGGTGATGGGTCTTTTCACCACAAAATCGGCATTTATCGTCGCGGCGACAATAGCCTGCCTTCGTTAACGGCTCTCAATGCTCTATCGGTAAGCTCTGTGATGACGTTACAGTCTGGAGAATAGTGGTTCTGATGGCAGAAGCAGCATCTGACGTTCGAACGGTCAATTGGCTCTGACTGATGACTACCAACCGGGCTAGAAGACGGTCAACGTCGGCGTTCCTCCATTCGAACAGGGACGCGGTGGTACGACGGTCTTCTTGGCGGACTCCTTTCTGATCGTTCCGAATTCGATGATGGTAACCGGGCACTAGTCGACTGCGCAGGTGTGGGCGTTTCTGAAAACTTTCAAATTTGTGATAATGTCCTCGCAAGGGGTCTCCATGGGGGCTCACCAGTTTGAGTTAACGCGGGATGACTTAAGGGTGGTCCGGGTAGAGGTAGTCACTGAGACGACAAATCAACTGGTGACGTTGCGGTGTCGCGGACGGTGGCGATTTCCTCAAACCCAGGGGCCTGAACTGACCACAACTGCGTGGTGGAAATTCCATGAAGACGAGCAGTGGCGGTGTTGGCCCTCTCCAGGTTAACAGTTGTCGTAGCCGTTACTGCGGATGCGGTGGTACAAAGCAGTTTAATGTCGGTCAATAATGTTAATGTCAATGTCGTGTGGTTGAATAGTAATCGAGGATGTAGACGATTCTTCTGGTGTCCTCTATGGGGTTGAGGACATGCGGGACGATGAGTTCTATAAGCCTATTCCTATGATTCTGAACATTGTAGTACAGCGTGATATATTCGTCGAAGAGCTGTGTAAGCTTCGTTCCAACCTCCACTACTCCGAATGCTTCGCCAGGTCATTCGTAAGCGTCTGAAGTTTCTTATTAGCTGCGTGAAGACCGTGAAAGCCTGTATAATGAGGTAGATGGGGTATTGCTCTACACGAGGGTAATTAAGGTCAGCTTCAGTCAGCATTGCGGTTTCCTCGACGATCGCGTCCCGAATGATGTTGTCAAACGAGTGACGGAGAAAAGCATCTTTCATGACGAGATCCCTGGTGGCCAACTGGTCGATGCTGAGTACGTTCAATGTTCTCTGCGATGCTTAGTGATTTAGCAATTTGCAGGGGCATTCGTTACGATAGTGGAAGACTTCGATCCTGTAAGGCATCGTCGAAAGCGGACGAAATATCGTGAATATCGAAATTTCCTCTCACGTATCCGGGAGTTCCTGCGGAGTCGGACGGCGATTCGGTCGACGAGTTATATCCGGATGTGATGGATCCACGTCTTGGAGATGAATCATCTGACGATACCCGATCGGGCTGGGCTGTACGATATTCTTTGCACTTGGGCGATGGCCAATGACAACAGCGAGTCAAAATCCTGGGTCGGTGCTGATGACGAAGGACCAGGAACTGAAGAAGGGTGACCAGGAACTGATGACGGATGACCAAAAGCTGACGACGACGGACCAAAGGCTGAAGACGACGGAATAGAATGTCCCACGTGTCTATGCGTTGTTGGAGCGGTCCGATGTCGTTGGTACGCTCGATCGATCAATAAAATCGTAGGCGAAGGTGTTTCAGATATACCGTTTATCTGAAGTGAAAACTTGAAAAATTGGGTAACGCGAACGCACGGAATAACGATCGTCCAATTGGTAAACTGCGAGGAAACGAGTTCAACTGCGGCCGAGTGACATATAGAAGTCAGTAGCATGAGAAACCTTGGTTTAGAGTACACACGAATGACGCAAAGGCATAGACGTTATCGAAAGCGTCGGGTGCTGAATGGTAAATTTGCTGTAAAGAATGAATTTTCAGGTGGTCCGCTGTGCTGATGGTACTAGCTCCAACTGAAGGCATCGATGCTGATGACACTGGCTGATGACGACAACCTCCTAGGGCAGCGGAACGGTGACCGGCTTGACGAGGGCAACCACTTGAGATGACGGATGACGAAATACTGCCGGCTGATTACCACGTGCGGGCTCGCTCGATATCTTTCCCGCGCTTCTAGAATGTTCTACCATTTGCGCGTTGCGTGCTGCGGTCTTGCATTGGAGCACGGTTTCTTCCCAGTGCACCACGGTCGCACGTAGGTGGCGACAGAAGTATCAGTCCAGAACAGTGCACAAGGGGTGTGGTGCGGTTGAATCGATGGTCGCTTCGCGGCGAGAGCGAGGTCGTGCACAGAGGAATGTGTATAGCAGAATGAAGCAGGAGCGTCAGTGGGTAAGAAATGCAGGAACACAAAAAGTAACAATAGAATAGAATCGTGCCGAAATATCAAACACATATTGATCTAGCTGTCTGGGGAACGCTAGAACTGCAACAACGAGGCAACAGGTCTGCGACTGTCGCGTGCGGCGAACCCATTACACAAAGCGATTCAACTGCTTGTCCCCGCGCATATGTGACGAAAGAAACGCGAAAATCGGCGTATTTGGCCGATTTCAGAAATACAAGGTTTGAAAAAAGATGTAAAGTTAAGGGTAGACGGGAGTGTTGCGAAAAAAGCTGCATGGAGGCTCTCCATATGTGCGCATCATTGCATACAGGGTTACGTGACTGCCTGAACTTTCTCTGCGTCCCTAACAGCGAAAGGTTAGAGCACAGAGAAAAATACCTTGCATGCACAGCACTTAAAGACTGCATAGAACGGGAGTGCTACACACGGGGCAGAAAAATAGCCGCGGTCGCTACAATTAAAGCGGCCCAGTTCAAGTAGTTTGTAGGCCTTGCATACAGCTGGCTGCAGTAAGCTGCCTGTTTGCAAGGTGTGGGTTCCAGTGCGAATGTTGCAACCTCTGCAGCTTCACAACGCCTTGAAGTCCTCCGTTGGGGTGTATGCCGGCTAGCCGGTTTTACGGTCCTTATTACGCCCCATTTTAGTCATTTTTTGACCTAACAGCTCTCCTTAGGCTATCCTCGAGATCACAGCTTCATCCGGGAGGAATTCTCAGGAAACATTTTTAGCGTGAGGTGTGAATTTAATTCTTTACAATAGCTATTCAGTAAGATCAGAAACTGATGGGAACAGATTTAGCTCAGTAGCTAAGATCCATATGGGTACCCAAAACAAGCAGTATACGATTTCTGTCAGGTCGTCTGGAAAGCATCTGCCGAATACTTTGTAATAGCCCCATTTTTTGTAATATGTTCTAGAAGTTTCTATGGGGTCGTTTCACGAAGGGGCACAACCTCTTTGTATATACATAATTTACTCGACTCCCTCTTCTTTGTTTATTTCACCCTAAAAAGACCAAACTGTCGTTTCGTAGCTAGTAATAATAATAGTATCTGAGAAGTGCTTCTTTACCAGCATGAATTCAGCTTCTCCATCGCTGGAGTCAAGCTCACGAAACTTGGGTCAAGCACTTACAAATGGCCTTGAAGTTCTTTTTGGGTGATTATGTGCTGAACTCGTCGATACGTTCTGCTTCTACAGGTGCATAATCTCCTTTTGCACTGGGTGTGCAAAAAGTAATCGGCAAAGTACAGCGATATTTGGAAACCACTTAATTTCGAATTACATTTTACCACTTGACAAAATAGTCTTCATCAACATCAACTGTTAACCGTAAACTTTCTGTTAGGCCGCTGAATTCTTTGACATAGACTGTGGTGGCTTAGTGGTAGAGAAAGCTTGAAGGTCATTTCCAATATAGCCATGATTGTCATAAAGCTTCTGATCCAAGTGATGCCGAAGCTATAGTATATGACGATGTGGTCGTCCCTCGGATTCAGGTCCAGGCTGTATGGTGAATGTGACAAACTTTATATCCAAGTTCCAGAATTCACTGGAAAGTCTTTTTTGCTTGTTTTGGGGACGCACATTATCTGCAATGGACCACGGCAATAATCGTCGTGTTATCAGGTAGTAGTTCAGAAGATAGATTCCCTGAACTCTCCATCAGACACTGTAATAACCTTTTTCTTTTCAATTTCAGCTTTCACGAAAGACTGAGAGGTTTTATGTCGATTAGACTAGACATCTTAACGTGCACGGACTGCTTCGAAAGAGCTGTGGGCACATAGAATTTCAATGAGCTTCAGCAGAGGAGTGGCCGGATTTGACTCCTTCAGGACTCGCTGAGAAGTTGTGTTGAATATGAGTGAGCAGTTCGGTCATCATATGGTTGAGTAAGCAAGGAAGAGGTAGCCGAGGTTGCGCTTCCAGAAAACACCGAAAGAAATCTGAACCAATGAGAAATCTTCAGCATATACATAACTTTCGCCAAATCTGATAGTATTCCTGTGGCAGATCCCAAAATATTCTTGGAGAAATCTGAATTATTATCCCGATATATTGGAGGTATCACTTGACTTTTTGGAAAAGAGGTTCTCCTTGGAACAACAACCTCATAAGCATTCACTATTACGGTGAAATTTCACGTCGCTCACTCTTAATCAGTTCGATTCAGAATGAACACGCTTAATGTTTTATTTCCAATTGATAGAATCGGACTTGAATTCCGTGAATCACAGCAATGTTCGAAAAGGCTCCGTAGAATAAAAGCCGAGTGGGTGGTTTTTGAATTTTTCCTATCAATCCACACAAAGGAGCGTACATAGATAGAGCTACACCATCCATTCACGACGGAAATATAATAGCATTTTCTAAATTTTATTTTATGCAAAAGCTGTTCAAGGCCATATTCCTCATAATAGGAAGTTGGATGGCTCAATGTCTTCTCATAGGCTAGCGTTTATTTGGAATTTCAGTTTGGATTATTAATGAACTAAAAACGAGATCTTCAATGTGATTATATGATCAATGGGCACATCCTTAAGGAGTATTTGAATAAATAAATAAATGTACATAAGTAAGCTGTATTACCAAGTTTCCGTCAGAGCAGTTTATCCTAAGCAGTAGTGATATTATGTGACAAGTGAAGGAGAAAATTGACCTTCGAAATTGTATGCAGTCCCTGTAAATCTCAAATAAATTTTCCCAAGAACTAGCATCACAAATCCAGTTCTGTCCATACAGCGCTTGTCAAGTTGGTATAGGTGCAGGTGAAGGGGTGAAGAGCTGTGTGGGATGATGAGTATGTAACTTATATTGGGCTTACTGTAGCTACCATTTTTTCTATAGCAAATTAAGGGCTCTCTTCCTCTGAATACTCTTGTCGGCCACATATACCTCTCATCGATTTTGTCTATATTTGGTGGTCTCACTATTCGTAGATGAGTGTGAAGCTGGTAAACTTACCAGCTGTTCAAGGAATGGACATGTCCCCGGACTGACCGCGCCCTAACCGAAGGTCTTATAGGAAGTGTGTCTGGAGTCCCTTTATAAAAAATTTTTGCTTTCCATAAGTAGTTCTGGGGTTGCCACTTGATCCCATCACAGACGTGTTATTATTATTATTATTATTATTATTATTATTATTATTATGTGTCAGTATTTACTGTAGTGTGTGCAACACGACATAGGTAAGCTTCATAATGCTCGAAATGAATGCGTCATAATTGGTGCTGGGCGCGAAGGATTGTGTGCCACTACACTGAGGAGGGAACTGCGCACGAGTGAATAGTATTTTGAGTGCATCGCGGAAGCAGTAGTTTTTCGGGGTTGCCCTCGGAAAAAGCTGAGCAGGTAGACTTGATAGGGTTGCGTGACACAGGATATGACTGTACGAGTCCGTGGTTTCAACCCACACTTGTTCTATTGGTGCCACGCCTATGCACACTCAATAATGCAATGAGAGTGGAAGGACGACCCTAGGTGCTGAAGACACAACTCGTAAATGGAAGAGCAGTGAAAATCAGCATCTCAGAACCTAGTCCCACTCGAATTTCAAGGGGCACAAAAATCTGTTGAACTGTACAAAACAACTCATAAAAAAAAGCGCTTCATGAAACTTTTCTGAACGAGTGGACTGGCTAAGTGACTGCATATGAAACACTAAAATCCAGAGAAAAAACGACTTTTGTTGAGGCTTGGTATATTGGAAAAAGCTTGAGAAAAGAAAATGTGGTCAAAAACCTTCGTAATTTTGTATCGTGTCAAGAAGGGCGAACTTGAAAGTTCGTACTGTTAGAATTCCACTGCGTCCCTCCGATTCGACGGTAAGCCGTTTGAGGGGAGCCTGGAATTGAAAGGAAC